ATATATATAACTTTGTTTATATAAATTATACCCGAGTATTTGGTTCATTAGTTGGTGCATTATCCCCTGCCTAAAGAGTAAGGTTCGAATCCCCCCTCCCCAAAATATATAAAAAAAAAACTTTATTTATATAAACTTATATAAACCTAAAGAGAAGTTGAGAGATTAGAATAGTTCTAAAACCTAGTTATTTTTTTTAATTTTATACAATTAAGGACAAGCCCATACGATTAATTAAATTAATTCATGAAAAGATAATTATTAATTAACTTGTAATGTCTTTTAATATATATACTTTATATATATATTATATTCATTTATAAAAAATATAATTACTATTATATATATTAAAATATTGTTAATGTGTGAGTTTGTGTGTGTCCTTAATATAAAAATAAAATATAATATAATATATATCATAATATATAGAGTGTGTGACATATCTCACCAGCATATTTACTTTCTATTTTGTGTTAATATTACAAAAATTATAACTCAAAATAATTAATTACAATATATATACTTTTGTTTATAAAAACTTATAACATATATATCTAAAGGGAAGTTATGAGATTAGAATAGTTAATTGAGTAATTGGGTACCCATGAAAAAGATTTTAATAATTTTTTTAAGGTATCGGTATTTAAATGCGTTATGATAATTATAGGGTAGTGAGAATGTATAAGGGTTAGGGTTAGTGTTAGGGTAGTAATTTTTAAAATTATTTGAGTAGTTAATAGAGTTAAGGTATTTGATTTTTAATAGGGTTAGGATTCGGGTACCTTGAAATTAACAGGTACCTTACCTGGCATCCCTAGATAGGGATGTACCAACATTAATATGTACATCAGATATTGGAAATATATTGGATATTATAAAATACAATGGATATTCACATATATTCATAACACTCCCCTTTGAATATCCATTGTACTACCTTATTAAAAACCTTGAGTCAGAAAAACTTAGTAGGACAAAAACTGGTCAAAAGGAAAATAGGCTCTTAATCGCCTAGGTCAAAATAGGCTCTCTTGGAGCAAGCTCAACACCAGGGTTTTTTGGAGTAGATTCTTGATTCCTCTCCTTTTGTTTTCAAAGAACAATGTCTTTTAATCCTATCCATCTTCCACACTTTAGGCATAAGCCATTTTGATCCATTTTAACCTATTCTTCGGGAACAATAATCCTAACTGGAACATTCATAGCTAGAATATGAGACTTTGTAATCTTGGCATCATCATTAAATGTGTTAAGAAGTTTATTGGTAGCTTGTAAATGGATTATACACTGTACCTTATTTTCGGATTTAGGTGTTCTTGGGTCTAAATGGGATAGATTTTTCTCATTCTAGAAGAAAATCTCAATTGGTTTCTACTTCTCAACTATGAAAGCCTTAGGGATCTTAATTGGTGGAAACACTATTTCATTAAAATGACAATCCGCAAATCTAGCGGTAAAAAGATGACCTATCATTGGTTCCAAGAACTTAATAATGGATGGTGAATCAAATCCAACGTAAATGTCCAAACGGCATTAGGGACCCATTTTAGTCCTTTTTGGCCATACTACAAGCATTACAGAACGCAACCAAAGGTGCGTAAATGTGAAATATCTGGTTCATAGCTTAGAACTAACTGCATTAGAGACTATAGGAGACTAGCAGTGGGGCGTAATCTAATTAATGCTATTGTATGCAAAACAACAAAATCTCACGTTAAATAGTTGAGCTTTGTCCTCAATAATAGAGTACAAGCTAGAATTTGGATACATTTAATTAGAGATTCTGTCAATTTATTCTGAGTATGAACATGTGAAATTTGGTACTCAACTCAATTTCTAGTGAAACACAATACGCATCAAAGCTCTTTGATGTAAATTCACCAACATTATCCATCTTTATGCTCTTCATTGGATCATTAGGGAAATATGTCCTGGGCTTTATAATATGCACAAGTAAACATGCAAATGTGACGTTGCACTTAAATAACATGCAAACTTGGGACTATCTACAAGATGTGTCCATTAATACCATGAAGTCTCGAAATGGCTCACTTATCAGTTGTATTGTTTTATAAATATCACCCTAGATTCTTTGCAATAAGGAAGGGGATTCAAGATTCACCTTTGTCATAGAAGGTTTGGTAATGAGCTTTCCTTGTGAACAAGTTTCACAAGTATAATCTTTGGACAACAAAATCTTTTTATCCTTTAAAGGGTGTCTTTTAGTATTTTGGATTATACTATGTATTATTGCAGCACCCACGTGACCTAGGCGATCACGCCAAAGTCCAAACCCATCGAGATTTACCAATTTTTAGGAAATGGTAGCATAAGATTCAACAACTTTAATACTGACACAATACAATCCTATAGTTGAAGCTTCTAACTTCTCATGGATGGTTTTCTGGCCCATCTTATAAGAAGTGGTGCAGAGATATTCCTTATTTTGGTTATAAATTGTCTCAAGATGGTACCCCTTATGACGTACATCTTTGAAACTAAGTAGATTCCTCTTTAATCTACTACTTAACAATGCATTCTCGATGTGCAAGGTGGTGGCATTTGACAAAACAATTATGGCATTTTCGGAGCCATCAATAATCCTAACGAGACTTGATATTTTCTGGACATTTGCCTTACGCAATGTCACACTTGAGAAAAAGTGCTGGCCACAAAGTATGGTATGTGTCATTGCACTATCAAGCAAACGAACATCTTTTTTTTCTCAGTGATTCCTATTTGCACTTGTATTGATAACTTTAGGTGTCTTAGGGAGCCACTGCTACTTTAGGAGACGAAAGGAGGCTCAAGGTCCGTTGTCAGCTTTAGGCCAATTGGACGGTATACAAAATTAAAATCTAAATGATTGAAAAATTGAAAATTTTACCTTATTAATTGATTAAAGCCTCGTGTTGATAACGTGTTGTAAAATATAACTTTAAAAAAATATTAGAAAAAAGTGGTAGGAATGTAAGAAGATCTTCTATTTTATTTTTTTTTTCAGTCTATCAACCATCAACTACAATACCTCTATTTATAGGTACACATAGATAGAGGAGAAATGAATTTACATAAATAGAGGGGATGAACTTAGTGGATAGGAATGTACATACATTGAATGAACTTAGGAGATAAGGATGTACCAATATAAATATGTACATTGGATATAGGGAGATATATTAGATATTATGAAATACAATAAATATTCACATATATTCATAACATAAGGTAGTTTTTTGGGTTTTTCTTAACCTTTATTTTCTTTTTTTTTTTGGATTTTTGATCATATTATTTTATATAATGCTTGATTATAGATGATTATGTGTTCAAATTTTTTATTTTAATTTAGAGAAGGAAGATTCAAACTATATTCTTTGAATATGAAATCATGTAGAAATCATCGGCCCAAATGCTCCGATGACTTTTTTCTTAAAAAAGGTTTTACCTTTAATTTTTATTTGACATAAATATTATTGTCAAATTCTTTAATTTCTTCACAATCCTATAATACCTTTCGATTTCTCTTTTATATATAGAGTTGTTTTATAATTTTAGGGTTTCGTAAATTTTACTTTCTACATTTTTAATGGAAACTCTTGGTTAGTAATTCATATAATGCATTGAAATGTGGGATTGGCATCTGTCCAATAGCTAACTATAGGAGCTCCATGGTAAATCTTTCACTAGTACTTTTTCAACCTTAGCAATCATGGTAATTATGTTGGTATTTCATCTTAGAATCTTTTTCATCTTGATGATAATCTAAACTAATATGTCCATCGTATACATAGTCAACAGACCTTGGAAAGGAACCACGATTCTTTTCATGTGACGTTACCTGTTTTATCGTTCACTAATGTCCCAATAAAGTGATGAAGAAACTTAATTTCAGGAAATTCAATCTAGATGGCGAGGCTGTCCTTAATCCAAGATTCTTTTGTAGGCAAGGAATTGTGCGCAAATTAGGCTGAGAGGGCCTAAACCAACACACCAAAACCAAGGTGTCCAGTGAAGTGACAAGTACGACGGACAGTGTGTGGGCAAGAGCACCCAAGATGAAAATCTTGCAATAAATGCGTTGGGCAAGGGAGCTTGAGGGAGTGGCTTAGAGACGAATAAAAGCAAATCCACAATCTGAGCACGGAGACTAGTGATGCCTGTACGACAAGAAGATTGGGGCAGAAGGAAGCAAGTCCACAGTTAGAGCATAGAGACTAGCAGAATGCTACTCGATAGAGAGGTCGAGGAAAAGGGATCTGCAACCTCAATATGGTGTAGTGTAAACGTGTGTGGGGCAAAGGAGCTGGATGAAGAGGCAACATACGCAAGGCAAGCAAACTAGGTAGAGGGAGTTTGAGTGAGAGGAGCCTGGTGAAGTAGCATACAGAACAGGACCATGCGTGTTGGGCAAGAGCACCCAAGATCAAAGTTAGGCAAAGTGAGCACGTTAAATGAGGTAGCCCGAAGGAGTGGTGTGGAGACTAGCATAATGCTTGCTTAACATAAAGGTCAAGGTAAAGGGATGCATGTCCGCAACCTTAATATGAAACAACAAAACCAATAATGCGAGGCTGTGATGCCCAAGAAAGCAGCATGTGACCAAACAACATGTTAGGTAGGTACATCTGAAGCAACATTGCACGGAGCCATGGTGCATGGAGCCAGGAAGGCTCGAGATGGTGGTATGAGACGAGATAGCACGCGAGGTGTGTGGGTGTGACAAGACTATATACGTTGGCAAGGTAGCGCACAAGGTAGAGAAATGCTAAAGCTGCATGTGCCACGAGACTACATATGCTAGGCGAGGTAGCACTTGAGATGTAAGGGCACAAGAAAGGCGCGACAATCCTTCCAAGAACGAGAGCGTTGTTGGATTGAGTGGAGGAGCATGTCACGCACCATGCGACCAACCCAAAGGAGAGGTGCCTTGGGAACATTAGGAATAGACCATCAAGGCCATCACTCAAGCGGATGTAGGTTGAAAGGGGCAATCGAGTTGACCAGGAAGACCAAGTGAGCCAGTAGTAGTATTTTTTGTGTGCCAGGCCAGCCAGGATGCACTCCTTGAGCACTAGTAGGCAAGTAACACAGCAACTAACTGTTCCAACAACCATGAACATTATTCCAATGGGAGGGTGGTTTCAACTTATGTTATAAGCTCTTCCTAGTCATTGGAGAAGGGGAGGGCTTTGTAAAAGGGTTCTCCTGACCTATAAAAAGGATCCACCACCCAACAAAAGATCGTTAGGTGGTGCGAGTATATGGGATGAGAGGTCTCATCCCCACTCTCTGTCATGGGCAAAGGTTTTGTGAGAGGTTTCTCTAGTTTAAATATTGTATATTTGTGATTAAGGATGATTGTTTTTAATCCTTTAAGATAAAATGTTTTTAAAAATAATTTTTTTATATTTATTATTTTTAATCAAGAAAAAAGATTTTTAGATAAAATTTTCACAAGCACGTGCTTAGTGGATCTGCTTTGCTCTTTCCCTTTTACTTTTGTAAAGCTCCTTCTGAAATTTTGGCATTCATAGAACCATTAAGGTTTGTAAATTTTCTAAACATCAAGCAAAATTTGAGAATTTGGATAGATTGTAAAAATTTTCATTGATTAGCTTTTGGACTCAAGCAACGATGGTAGGTTTTCCATTAATTCTAAATTTGACAGGACGAATATGAAACGACATTCCATTTGACTTTGTGTGCCTGCTGAAAACGACTACTATAAATAGAAAATTAGTCGACTATCAAGAGATGTTACCCTATTATCTATGCTCAATCATTTCAAAATTTTAGAAAAGAAAAGTTTTAGTGGATCAAGGTGCCTAATAATCAACAAACCAGGTTTAACAAAGTTTTTCCTTGCTTTTTAATCAATTAATGGTACAATCTTAATCGATTAAACATTCACATAAATGCACAATTACGCATCAGGTCAAGATATGAAGAACTCCTTAAGAGTTCCTAAAAGGACTGTTAATCTATGGCTTGTTTAGAGACCAACAATGCTTGTATTGTGCTTACAATGACTTGAGGGCTTAAAGTAGCATCAACCTTGAATATCCCTTCAGCATCATCTATGTGAAGTAAGTCTAGTTGAGATTGCAGAAGCGTGACTGGCATGAAATGATTCCCTTCTGCAGCTCTCTTCTTGAGCCGACCAGCAAGCACCTCAGCCTGAGCATCCAACAGAACAAACTGCACCTTACTGGCATAGCTGCCATGTTCATAAGCAGCATCAGCACATCTTAGAATTTCTCTGTAATATTTCTGCAGAGAAGAACACCCAAGTACCACAGTTTTTCCAAGTACTAAGTTCTCTTTTAGAACATCCCTTAGCATTTCCAGCCATGGAATCCGATCCTCCTCTGAGAGGGGAATACCTTGGCGCATCTTTTCTGTGTATTTAAATGACTATAAACATTAAAAAACAGTACCATATTTAACCTTATAGATGAAAAAAAAAAACAGTAGACAAAAATCATGTATATACGCTCAATAATTATGTCATTGATTGCTATGTTTACCTTTATTCAATAGTGGATGGAAATCATCAGCATCAAGAAAGCTACAGTTCAAAACTTTGGCCAACATGTCACCTATTGTGCTGGTTAAAGACACAAAGCCAGTAGATGAGCATGAAGAGGATCTTAGTTTACCAGGACATGGAAACATATGTGATGTAAACAGCTTTGGAAATCAGTGTGAAGATAAAGAATGAAACAAAAAAAAAAAATTAAACAAAGCAATAAATGGGATCAACATAATCTTATTTGCATTACAGTAGTACAATATAATAATTGAATCTGCATTATAGAATAATAGAATATATTAAAAGAATTCATAGAGTACACGTAATTATTGTCAAATCAAACTAATTATGAAGAAAAAGAAAAAGAAGAGAACTAACAATTGATCGAGTGGATCTTGATGATTCCATCAACATCAAAGTGCTTTCTAAATAAAGATTTCTTGGGCTCTCAATGGAAAAAAGAAAAGATTAAGAGGTAGGAAGAGAAATTATATCACAATAAACAATGTCCCAGATTCTCTATCTGAATATGACAATAGGAACAAAATCCTTCAGTCAAGTGAATGAATTAGAGAGAGATCCAAGTCATGCAACTAAAATAAACTTCAAATAAAAAACAACTATTACCTTATCAAAAATTATGTAAGAAAGTTAAGTGGAAAGAAGATGTTGTCACAAAATAATCATACTACTTTTGGGAAAGTTCTATTTGAAAAACTAATGATTCAAAGCAAAACCTTTTTCATTATGTCAAATTGTAATACGTCATTCCCTAGCAATAACCATTAGACACTATATGTGCTTGTAATAGCATTTTCCTTTATTTTCTATTTACACAATATGGACAAATCTCGACATATTGTTTTAACCCTGCTCTCCACATTTTTCTGGGTTGAAAATCATGGGGATTCGACTGCAAATTGTCATACCCCCGCCTTCTGAAGGACGGAATGGCAAGTTTAACAGTTTGAAAACCTAAACAGATTGAATATGGTTTGATACAGAATTTTTATCGACAAAATAGGCAAGACTCATTTTATTGAATAGATAACAGCTGCTTCAGGTAAGGTACCTTAGGATTCAAAACCATATCAATTAGACTGTAACATACAACCATGTTATAGTGAAAAATTTTACAAAAAAGGTCAATTCCATGATCACTTCAAATCCTATGAAAATTACATGTAGACCATAATTGCTAAAATCTCTAAACTCATCATTACTAAAAATAAAATGGTGAAAGAATTGTGGGTAACAACGCCATTCAAAGATTGGTACATTAAGTGCTTATTTGGACTGACTTTTTTTCAGCTTATTTATCTCTTAAAAGCAAAAGTCAGGCCAAACATAAATTTTGAAAAGCTTTTAAAAAAAAATAACTTTTTTTTAACAATAAAATTTTTTTAAAAAAAGAGCTTTAGGAAAAGCTCCTATGAGTAGCTTTTTCTTCTCTTTTTTTAAAAATACAAGAAATTTTTTTTTGTTTCAAAAATATCCTCGTCTGTTAAAAATAATTACAATATAACTCTCTCAAAAAAAGAAATACATAATTTTAACAAAAATTATAACTTATAAAAAGAAACTTAAAAAAAAATTTACCAAACAACTTCAACTTAATTCTAAAAGCTATTATTTTTCATAAGAGCTTCATAATAGCTTTTAAGCTAGAAAAAAGCTAAGCCAAACAGGCTCTAAGTTGCACAAAACATTCTCTTGAGCTTTTATTAAATACGCAGATTAGATACGTGTTCTCTTGACAAATCATCAATTATTATTTAATAGGAAATTTCAAAAAGATATCATGCATGGGTAGTGCATGGCAATGGCTATGTTGTTACTGTGCGGATTTAGCCACAAATAAAAAGAATAAGTCTACTTCCTCTTCAATGTACTATCTTCATAGGATTCTGTCTGAACAGATAACCTCCTCTTTCTAAGTTACTGCAGAAACAAATTCCAAATAAAACCAGCATAACAGATTCCACTTTGGCCATGAAAGAGATAAAATTTAAACCTTACTATCCAAAAGAAAATTAGAAATTACTAGCAAGGTATCACGGTGGAAAAATTGTCATATATTGATGGGCAACGGAATAAGGGTGAAGAGCATAGCATAATTATCCAAAACGTTCATTTCATGGAAGGCAGCTAACCTACACATGATCATTTTAATGAAAGTTTATCACAAATAGACAACAAATTCATCATTAAGATTCCGTTTGATTGACTTTTCATATTTTCCTTTTGTTTTAATTATTTTTTTTTTTGCTTTTTACGTTTTAGCCATTTTTTTATAAAGAAAAAAAGAACAAATAATAATAGTATCTACAAATGAAATCTAAATTAATAGATAATTTTACTTTTTGTGCGAATAAATGTGTGAAGAGATCAAGAAACTTAAATGAGGCAAAGAGAACTTCTTAGTTTTAGCTTTTACAGCATTTTAGACAACAAGTATACAATGTAAAGGTGATCATTATGAATGACAAATTACACACAAAAAAATAAAGGGAACATGTTGCATGAGTTTCAACACTTCTAACTTCCATGTGCCACAAACAATTCAGGAGGGGATAAAACGCTTACGATTTTCCAGCGCCACTAACACCCATAATCACGACAACTTTTCCTACTAAGAGAAATAAAGAAAATATTAATGCATTGCATAAACAGCTAAAAGAGAACAAGGACCAAAATGAGCTGAAGGAAGGAAGTAGATATAAAATGGAAATTTGAATTTGATACCACAATGAGTTCCACTTATAGCATCAATCTCAACTCAAATTACAGCAATATCAGATAAAATTACCTTTGTGATCAGAAGCCATATTAAGTGGAACAATATACAATCCTTTAGCGACAACAGGTGGAAATTTTAAAAGTCAAAAGTAAGACGGATCCTTCCTTCTCTAAGAAAAGATGGTTACTCTGTAATTTTCAAACATGAGAAAAAATAGACATTATGATCCAACTAGAGAGAGTAGCATTTTAGAAAACTCTACTTGCTAGCTTCAAACTTAGAAAAGAAATAAATGATAAAAGAAACTGACAAAGTCCAAAATTCAATTATCATCAACTACAAACTCCATCATTTGCAGTAATCAGTTTAGCTTTTAATTAAATATATTCTTTCCTATACTCGAAAACAGTAAGACACCAACCATTTAATCCCTAATCCAAATATTTTCTTAGCAAAATGACACTCAGATTTCGTAAATGCTGGCCTGTACACAATCACATACCTAAACTCTATTGAAAAAGGCAACTATGTACCTTTATATATATATATATATATATATATATATATATTCATTTGAAAACTTCTGCTGCCCAAATTACAGTTCTCAATTAGCAATTTAGTATTAAAATTACCATATCATCCTTCTTTTCAATTGAAATTAACACTTTACCATTCCAACTCTCATACTCGCAATTGCTATTGTTTACATCTCTACCCCTAACAGCGTATCAAATTTTCAAGTCAACCAATCATTATGAACGAAATCAAATTCAAATGAGCATTTTGATAAAATTAAATCAAAATCAAAAGTCATAATTCCATGTCACATGAAATGAATATATCAAAACCAAAGCATCTGAGCATTTAGTTTGATGGTATATGCATACATCCTGTGTCGAAAGAGCTAAGTTTCAATCCCATTTCCTCATATCAAAATATATATATATATATATATGTATCTCAAAACGAGAAGAATAACAATAATAAAAAGAAGCGATATATTTAGTATATAGTTAGGAGGAAAGAGAGGGTAAAGCAGTTACCAAATACTTATCGGATTGGAATGAGGTTACTTCAAATTTCAGTTGGATTGTCGTCGGATATAGAGGCGGTAATAAGAGGAGAGAGCTCGGTTTGGTATTCTCCTCCCACCGACTTGACTTGGCTCTAGCCTCTCCACTCCACGACAGATTTGGTTGGTGGAACTGGAAAAATACTTTTGTTTCTGTTTTCAATTGAAAAAGCAAAACGATTGATGAAGGGGAGAAAATTGGTATTTTGAAACTGTTAATCTACTTTTCAGGTAGATTCTTGTACTTTCGCTCACGTATACAGTCCTAAGTAGAGCATATAGCCGACGACACTTTGCAACCACAGCTACTCACACAAATCTCTTACCATATCACAAAAATCCTTTTTCTATTATTTCTTAGGGGTTTTATAAACAAAATAGTCTGTGATTTTTACAAGTTGTGAATACAGTTGCATTAAGATTTTATAAAATAAAAATGTCGATTTGCCAGCTAAATTAATTATGATTCATCTGTTGCCACTTAACATTTTGACGCTGTGATTGAAACACGCAAAAATTACATGCAAACTACCAATCCACATGTTTTAATTTCAATTTTAAGATATTAAATTATTTTTAACTAAATGGCTTGGGAGATTTCATGTCAAAAACCCGGCCATCGTTGTTCCCAACTGGTGTTCACTCTGAATCACTTCCCAAAACCTTAAGCAACATTGAGATTGCAATATGTTGCTAATTTTAGAGCTAACATGGTGAAGATCAATAAGTCACTCGGGTTTACATGTATAACAACACCAAGTTATTCCTAAAGCATCCTAATATTCAGTATGATTCTCCCCAATATAAAAATTAAAAACAAAAATAAAAGGAATTGTTGAGTCGTGTAATGAGTCAACTCAGAAATACAAGTTTCTGTTGGCATCTGGTTGTCGTAATCAAATAAGGTGACCCTACATGATTCATACTTCATACAACATTGCAATATCTCTGGGCAGCAAACATGGGCTGAAGCACATTGTCCCAATCTGCTCTTTCTGTAATATGAAAGAAGCTCCAATCATCAGTATAAAATCTTAAAACAAACAAAGGGAATGCTTCCCATAAAGCAAACACAGGCATACCTCTAGTAAACAGGGAACACCATCCATCTTCCTACTCACACTTGATAGAATGGTAAATGTGACGAACAAAGAACAGAGAAGCACGGAAGCCAATGGTCCCAAGCATGAGGAAGAAACCATAACAAATGCACGCCATGTACCCAAAGAAGAATGAGGTTTGCATGAAGCCTGACATGTCTGATCGTGCATTGTAGTAATACAAACAATAGGCATATATGAACAACCCAGTAGACCCACCACAAAGGAAGGACCTAACAGACCAAAGAGAACGTCAGTAATAGACCAGCTGATTATTGAAAACAGACCCATCGGAGATGCTACCTAAATGCCAGTTAGTCATAAAATTAATTTATATTACTAATTCCAGAAATAATCCAAGATAGACTTAAAAATGATAGTAACTTGATCCCCATGCAAAATGACATCATTCCACAGGTGTTGGCACCCTCTCCTAGCAAATTTGAGTAAAGTTTCAGCAATGAAAGTGGATTTCCAGGCTATTTTATATGCTTTGAATCTTCACTTGGTCTGACATAAGCAGATTAACTCAGGAATTGAGGAGTCAAAATGTTATCAGTAATCAGATCCAAGGTGAGATGCGGCAAAGATTCACTCAAATGCCTCCTATTCAGGCCTAGAGGTTTGATCTAGCAAAGATTAGAGCTTAGTCCATAGAATATGCATAAATGAGAACAGGGATCATAAGTTTAAGGCATTGTCCAATAAGTTAGAATAGTGTGCCAAGATTATCATGTGACACCACCTAAAGCCATGACCATCAGCGATACATCATCATGATACTATCTGCTACCCCTTTTAATAACACAAGAAAGCATCCATAGGCCGAAGCAAAGATAGAACACAAGCAACACATTTGCGAAATAAACCTCACTCAACCACCCAAAAATAATGAAGAAAAAAATGTGCACAATCTCCGATGAAGATGAACCACTGTAATTTAAAAGAATGAAGCTCCTAGTGGAACTCTAGAATTACAGTGCTCCATACTACATCACAAACTGAATTTTTTGTTTCTGTTCTCTTTTCTCTTTTTTTATTCTTTGTTTGTTTTGGTACTACCTCAAGACTGGTTGACATTAATATACTGACATCCAAATTCTACAGACTAATTTATTTATGAACTTCTCAAATTCATGGAAGACAAGACAACCACCCCAAGCTGACAAAAGCAATTTCACCCCTTACGCTAGGACATTTGTATCGCAAGAAGATCATACATAAATGCTCTAACATCACATTATTTTACCTTTCCAACTCTCCCTCCCTGATGGTAATTACTTATATAATTCAGATATACGAACACAGTTGATGCTTCAGCCCAATAGGCCCAATTTAAATTCTATCACTTTCCCCTAGTGGAGGTGTTGAAAAATCACATGTGCATTAAAGGGAATACAAACTGCCAGCTTACTTTGTTGCAATCATCTAGAAATAGAATCACATCAAGCAGCAGTCATGTTCTTTAGTCAATAAAAGGTTAAGATACTAATAGAGCCCCTGTACTTTCCTAAATTTCCCAAATAAGCCCCTATTACTCTATCGTATTCAATTGAGCACTTAAAGTATTATTAGCACTACAAAACAAAATGGGTAGCTAAAAGGAGAGTAAACACCTCTCTCTTATTGGAAAAGTAAACACCTCTTCTGCAGTAACCATTCTCAAGGTCTCCAAGGACTAGTAATTACGCTGTCATTATGTGCATCTTCAACTATTTTAAGGATGCTCCATTGTGTTGTTCACTTTACGATAATCAAGGTTATTTTCAGGTTTTAACTAATGCAGATTGACTGGGTATCCATCTAATGAAGGATTTACTAGAGGGTATTTTGTGTTAGAGGCAACTAACTGTCTTGGAAAAGTAAGAAAAAACCATCAATCAATATCAGGGGTTGCGTCAAAGTATTGAGCATGGCAATACCACTTATTAGTTGCTTTGGTTGAAATACATGTTGGAGGAGCTTGATTTCCAACAACAAATCCTACGACTCATGCAATAATCAAGCAGCCATTAATTGCATAAATGCAACAATCAAATATGTTCTTCCACCACGTTTCATTACATTATCATAAGATAGCTCTATCTTCACTTTTTAGGAGACCATTTGCAGATCTACAAAAAGCTTATCAACTACACAGTAGAAAGAATAGTAGCACTTGGCAACTTGGGTTGGGTTCTCACATTTGAGGATTATACAAATGTAGAATTTCATTCAGAATTATAGATGAGAAAAGGACAATTAGGACTCAAATATCAACAATCCACCTATATGTCACAAGAAATTATGCACATTACAACTGAAAGATAAGCATGCACACACAGGCTAACAAACAAAATAAAGTATTTGAGCTTAGCAGAACAATGTTTCAAAATATGAGAAATTTTAAAATATTCTTCAAGCAACCATCTATATGTATGTTCCTGTATGTTGCTCGTGCCCACTTGCAAATGCATGTGTTTTTTAAAATATGCATATCAGAAAGCTAAAAGCAAAACATACCTCCACCACCACTCATGGTCTTCAGCAGCAAGTTGAAAATAAGTCAAAGCAACTGTGATAAAAGCCGTGACAATCAAGAGAATGATAAAGACAATAAACAGGATGCTGTATATGGTGTAGATCCTATGTCCCCACACACTGGCAAATATGTAGTAAAGTTCAATATAGATAGCACTGAATGGCAAGAACCCTGCCATCCCCATCTGAGGAAGAGTTTTGCGGTACCAAGGCAACGGTGGAATCTCTCTGGGGTATTTTGTGGTGCGACAAGGGGCTTGAAACTCTGCCTTGCTATTTTTCCCAGCAATACCTCCTAATACTAATAGAGGAGATGTGACCAGAGCCCATATGAGAAAAATCACTACAATAGTACCAAATGGCAATGCTGCAGTGGCTTTATAAGCAATTGCAACAGTGTTGAGAAAGCAAAATGTGATAAAAAGAGGTCCACAAAACAAGCCTCCAGTCAGTAATAAGTTTCTCACCTGTCATGACAAAGGTAGAAATAGTCATTACATTTGGCCAAAAAGATATTCAATTTTAGAAAGACATTTTCACTTTAATTACTATTATAAAATGAGGAGGCTAGCATGTTTTAGTTCCAAGTTCCTACTTTCTGTTATTGTTCTCTTGCAGGGAGGAGAACATGGAATTAAAATAAGGAACTGCTTGATTGCCACTGCATGATGCTTAGCTTAAAACTATAGCAACCCTAAAATCAGCTTCTACAAAGAACATTATAAGACTCAAAGACAATGAAGCAATTCAAATTTTAAGAACATTCACCTTCAATAGTAGTTGAGGAACTAAAATTCATTCATGCTGACAAAAATAAGGTAATTGTGCTTTGAAATCTATAAATATAAGCTTCAATCTCTAAATACTAGTCTCCTCTCAGGCTTTTCTAAGTACAAGTGCACATTATAATAACATATCATTCAGAGACAATTTTTTCCATTTTCTCTTTTTCATAAAAACCAAAATTGTGAGAGAACATAGAATGTTTACATGGGCAAGCGGAATGGAATTCCTGAAATTCTTGCACATTTGGGCTTTTTGGTAACACTGAAGATAGAGTATTCTCAATCCTTATGGAAAATTATTTGGGATTATAACATATTTGTTTAGTTTAATGACCCTAACATGATATGAATAGCTAAAAACCCAAGACAGATACCAACCTGGTGAGGTAAACAAGTCACTAGGTCAACTAATCAGCAGTCAATTAATTGAGCAAAACAATCTTTTTCATACGTATAAAATATCTTACCCATATACCTCCAATGTGCCATAAGGCTTCAATTGACTAGAACATTCATAGGTATTCAAGGGTGCCTATTAGTATTTAGTTTAAATCAGATGACTAGTTATGACTTGGTTGAGTGAGGCCAAGTACAAGAGAATCATCTTAGAATTATAAATAATGCAATTCAATTCACAGTAGAATGCTTCAAAAAGTTAAAGAGTTACTTTAGAAAGATTTGAAAAAGTAGGGGGCAAGTACAAAATGGATCGTCCTAAGGATGATTGTGGGAAATATTCTATAAAGTCAGGCTCTTACGTCCTTTAACGTGGGTGAACTTACCCCCATCATCCTTGGTGTACATTAAAAATAAGGAGGAACTCCTACACCTCCTTAATTGTTGGTTGGTTTTTCCTTGATACTTGATTGAACTTACGGCTGTGATTCCCATGTTAGTTAAGTCTTAGTCTCAAGAGTTTGGTTGTAATTGTACTCATCGGTTGCTCCTAATAAATCTCCTAACTTCCCTCCCCCACCCCAATTCAAAAAACACACACACACCGAGAACAGAAACATTTTATTTGGCTTGACCAGCTGGGCAATTTATGTTTAGTGAAAAGGATGATGACTATTATAAAGGAGAAAAAGATTCCTGAAAATGTAATATCTCATTTCTTTCTCTCACCTCTAAACCAAGGCTTTGCTTGGTCAAGGGGAATAGCGGGAGGATGGAAGAGGGTGAGTCGGAAAGTGGAAAGAAAATTATTTTCACTAGTGCTTGGTAAGAGAGAAAAGTGAGAGGAAACAAAATAGGAGAGATTAGCATTTTCCTTCCTTATTCACAAAAACAAATCATTCCAAATTGAAACGATTAAAGGAGAGAAAATGGGAGAAGTGTGAGTTAAGTGTTGCATATTTACAATATTTTCCATCCTTTTCTTAGATTAACCTTGCTATCTTAACTTAACAAAGGTATAATGGTAAAATTATATAATTTTCATTTTCTTCCCTTTCATTTTTCAACTCTACCAAGAATGGATGGAAAAAAAGGTCATTTTTCCTATCCACTTTTCCATCTTTCCTACCAAGCATACCAATGGAAAGAAAAAAAATGTTTTCCATCTTTTCACTTTTCCCCTCTTTTTCCATCTTTCTATTTCTCCATCCACCTACAAAGCAGAGCCTAAAGCGGAAATAATTTATATAAAGGAAACAGGAAAGGAGACCGGTCTTACATACCCAATTTGTTCCTTCTAGCTGACAATAGAAAGAGGCAGCAGTGTAGCCAGCAATTCCAGAAGTAAGTGCATAAATGACAACCAGAGCAGTGAACAAAGCTCCACGATTATATGGATAAAAGACCCCAACTAGAGCGAGGATAAAAATGAAAATTGTACTGGAAAAGAATGCAAATAAGCAGATAGTTACCAAATTGCTCAGAAACAGAAAGCCCAAAGTAAATTTTTACAGAAGGACAAATTTAGCTAATCACTTCTCTCCCCTTTTTTTCTTTCTTTTGTATGGAGAATAACCTTTGACTACTTTGGTTGATACTCACAGAGTAAAGAGCTGGGTGCCAGAACCAAGAGCCGCTGCAAACAAAGACTTGTGCTTTGGGTACCTGAACACATCACCATGAATGTACTTCCACCCAGTCTCTTCCTGGTCATCTGCTGATTCCTCGTCATGTGCATACCTATTAAAGAAGAAATACAGGATCATGTAATTTGAATAAAATATGGACTAGCATGCATCAAAACTCAGGGCTTACTTGACAAAATCATTCTTAAGGACTCGCATAAGAATGGTAGCAAGGAAACCAGTCAATAGCAACACGGTGACACATGAATTGATAATTGAGAACCAGTGGATTTCTAAGTGGTGTGGCAACGAAGAAGATTGCGAGTACTTGTCCATCCTCTTCTCAAACGGAGTTTCAGTTTCCTTCCATTTAACAGTGAACATGAAATCCACATTGACTTGTTCATCTTCTGTGAGGTCCACAAGGGCGTTGGGATCAGATCGCACAGTAATCTCAATGACACGATCCTTGTTGTAAAGGATCTCGAATATGAGATGCTTAAAGAGATAATATTTGTACTCGCTGGGATCGGCCTTCCCTTCCTTATCAACTTTCCCTAAGAAACCCCAAATGGGGAGGTCGTCGTAATACATTTGGAAGTAATAGTCTTTTGAAACTGCACTTCTGAACTTGGCGACTTCACCCTTTGTCAGCTTCTTTTTGCAGGCAATCTCAGCCTCTTTGTCACTCAAAAAGTCAAGTTTGTAAGGGGCACTCACTAATCGATCTCCATTCAACACTTCGCCGAGAGCTTCCTTCTTTTCCTTCACGGGGGCTGCACAAGATCAAATTGTTTAGTTACAACACTCTCAAGAAATAATTTTGAATTATTTATAAACATTAAAAATACTCGAATAGCTGTTGGACACAAACCTGATGAACAGAAAGGAAAATCGAAATAACGGTACGTCTCACTGTTAAAGAAAACAAACGACAAAGTTGAGGTAGATCAGCAAGCAAAAGCAATCGAAATGGAAATGTATTCAATTCCAAGTTTGAGATCCGGAAGGAAGGAATACCTGGGATTGTGGAAGGGACCTACTTTATTGGCGTAGAGAGGAACTTCAGCTCCAGCTTTGTAACGATGATCAGAAGCACTGGATCTCACCTGGGGTACGCCGCACAGGCTGAGAACGACCAGCGCTACCAAACACGCCCTTATTCTATCCATTCCCTCACCAAGAGTCCAGAGATCAAGTTTCTGCAAAAACGTGTTGGGGTCTACGGGGGAAAGAAAGGAAACAGCTTTTTTTCTAGTATTTATTTTATTTTGTTTTTATATTTTATAGCAAAGTGTGTGACTGACACCAACTAGTTACAAGTCCTAAAGAGTGAGAAGCACTCCACACCATCTCTAACCAAAGGATAATGACCGCACAACCAGCAGCCGTTCGGAAATTACACACTCCAAACTTTCAGTATCTCTCTAATCCTAGAGTTTGGCCCCGCTACGTCGGGGGCTGAGGTCCTTCGAATTTTTTTCCCCCATTTTTTTTTTTAGTTTTTTAATAAACATATATTTGTTTAGCAAAAACGAAAATAAAAGCGAATATTTCAAATTATTGAAAGCAACAATTTCTCGTTGCCACTCTTCTTCGGATATAAAATTTTTGTTTCTGACACTTCTGCACTAAGTGAATACTGTTTATGTATAAAGAAATAATAATTAATAAAATTTATAATTTTAATTAATTTATGACTATAAAATAATATTAAATTAATTAAAATATTAATGAAGAAAAAATATTTAATTGATTATTAAATATTTCAAAATAATAAAATGAATTTTAATCAACTTAATGTATATTACAAACTTTTGATGAATATATTTAAAACAAAAGAAAGAAAGAACAAAGAGAAAAGTAGATCAATTATAAACCTTTCGTTAAAAATGTATGTCATAGATGATAAAGATATTTTTTAAAAATGTATCTTTCCTTTTCCACTAAATAATATTTATTTTTAGATTCATACTTATGATTATGTTTTTCTGTCAGGATAATTTATGATTTTATCTGTTTTACCGTTTACTCCATATACATTATTTTTGAGATAACAATAACATTCACAGCTTTAAGTCTAACTTGTGTATTCAATTGTTAATTAGAAAATGATTTTTATAGGTGGGAGCATATGGCTCGAATCCATATCTGGAATTTATGGTTGGCGCATTCTATTCTATACCTTCATGCATGTCTCTTGGGAACAAGCTGCTAGCCCAAATACAAACAAGGTGGGAATTACTATTGAAAAGAATATGAATACTTAGTTTTGTCTTAAACCAATTAGGGTCATATATATTCTCTTTACTGGGTCCATCCATTGACAGGTTGGTGAAAACGGCAAAGTAATTGTGGAAAGATTCATCTGACCTGGGTACAACTTCGGCCAATCTAACCCAAATGTTATGCACCCATATTTGGTAGAGGATAAGGTGATGGAAAGATACAAGGAAAGTAAGAATACAGCCACAGTTGGTGGATCCGAAGCGTGCACCATGCACTAGACTGGGGGAAAAGTTGACTCGTGATATCAAAGTAGGGTCGATAAAGGTAGGGTAAAACAAACGAATCTAAGGCCGTCCTTAAGTTCTGCCAGTTCTGATTATATTTTAGTTACTGACGAGGGGAGCCAGAGGGCTTTATAGAAATACAATCTTATAATGACAGTAACTGTTAGTTGGAAGCAATTCAAGAAGAAATGAATTCTTTGCGGTAAAATTGCACCTATGTCCTATGAGTTGGTTAAGCTTTCAAAAGGTAAGAAGCTATTAAAGAGAACAAATGGGGGACCAGGCTGAAAAAACATGATGAAAGTACAAAGCTCTTTCATTGGTGAAAGGTTTGGGTCAAAAAAGAGGGCATTGATTTTGATAAGATCTTCTTTCTAGTTGTGAAGATAAGTTTCACCCGAGTTGTAGTTAGTTTGAAATTTGAGATTAATCAACTTGACATAAAGATTGCATTTTTGCATGGTAAGTTGCATGTGGAGGTTTACATGAAACAATTAGAGGGTTTTGAAGTGAAAGAGAAAAAACACTTGGTGTGCAAATTGAAAAAGAGTCGGCATGAATTTAAGCAGCCCCGAGACAACGGAACAAGAAATTTGATTTGTTGGACGATGACTCAAGAGTGCACGATGACATCTTTAGATCCTTATGTTTACATTAAAATATTGTCTAATGATAAATTCATTATCTTCTTGTTATATATCAATAATAAGTTAATTGTTGGACAAAATGTGATTTGATATGAAAAAATTGAGATTGACTGGACAAATTCTTGAAACGGAGAGCTAGAAATCTGTGGCTATTACGGGTGCTTGAAAAGTTCAACATGAACAATGCTAAATTAGTTAGCACTCCTTTTGCCAACTACTTCAAGTTAAGTAAGAAGTCTTGACCAAAAGAGATGAAGAAAATTCCTTACTTTTCCGAAGATGGTTGATTAATGAATCTTATGATTTGTACACAACCTAACATTGCTCACGCAATTAGTGTATAGAATAGATTTCTTTCTAATTCGGGAAGGTTCACTAGAATACTATTAAGTGGATGTACAACAGGCTTTATGGATGTGGAAACGACTTGTGATAAATTTATTTTATAAAATTAGTTTCGTGTTATTTTGTTTTTAAATGTTAATTAAGTCTTTAAATTTTAACTAGAATTTAGTTATTTTTAATTGTTTTTCCAATCAATTTATTTTTATTGAGTTATTTTAATTTTATGTTTATTTATTTAATTTAGCTATCATTTTTTATTTTTTATGTTGTTGTAGGATTTAAAAACAATAAGGTTTAATTTTTAAAAAAAAGTGTTTGAAAAATCTTGCTCATACATGTTTTAGTGTTTTGACCATAACTCTTATTCTAGATGTCCAAATGATGTGATTCTTAAACCATTAAAAAGCTAAGAGACGGGACAACAATTTTCATGGAAGTACTTTTTTCAATTCTACATTGAAGATAGAGAAAATCATGTCAGAAGACTACTTAGTGTAATACTACCAAAGTGGTAATTTGAAAATTGATATTTGATGTTTGGGCCTCCTAACACTTCTTAGCCTATGAGTTGAGTCATTAGGTTAAATTATGTTTAATTCAAAAAATTTTAAGTCAAAATTATTAGTATTAAAAAGTACTTTGGGAGAAGTTAAAGACAATATCGAAATTCAAGAAGGTAAAAGTTGATGCTAAAACTTGAAGAACAAAGTTGCAAATATTTGTTTTGTTTTCTTTCTTAGTTTTTATTTTTCTTTTTAGTTGTAATGGTTAAACTTCACATGTTTTTATTTATCTTTACAATTATAAGTAACTAATTTTATTTTCCTAAGATTGTAATTGAACTTATATTTAATTTGAATTTTTAATCTTTTTCTTACTTTATTTTTAATGAAAATAAATTGTTTATTCAAATTTATTCTTAATGTCTGTAATTACTTTGTTACCAATTAAATTGATTTAGAAACCTAAAAATAACTCAAGAAAGGGAGTTTACTATAAGTTAAGATTAAAATAGCATATGATCATATTAATTTATTTGTATATAGGATAGAACATACTATATGTCATATGTAGACAAATTTAGAACCTAAATTAATGAATCTATTTTGATTTCAATTTGGATATAGTGTTTTGGTTAAAATAGATATTTTTATAAGTTTAATCAGAAAATCCTTACAAATAATTGAAGACTCAAAGTATATTGGCAATTCAACTCATTGAAATAAGTTAAGAAAGAGAGGTAAAATTTAGATAAAATATGAGAGATATTGTAATCCTTTATCAAATTTTATTTTTACTTTGATTTTTATTGCTATTAATTAGTTTTGTTAATTTTTAGTTTAAATAATTATTTATGTTTTAACCATTTAGATAAAATTAAATTGTGTTAATTTTAATACTTGGTAAAATTTTTAGAACAATTCACTATGAGATGAATACTTTATTTGTCATTATATTATCCTCTATTTACCATTATATTATTTTTGTTATTCATATACTTGCATGAGTAAAATATTAAATAACAACATGGGACAACCAGAATATATTTCTGCAAATGAAGTGACAACCAGAATGCTATTGATTTGAGCAAAGAGAGTATGAACCACAGTCTTACATTTGATATTAGTTAGGTTGGTGATTAAGGAACAAATGATACTGTTGAAAGAGGTTCACACAGATAAGAACACTATTTCTATATTTCGAGGAGTGATCTTGAGTTACGCACCAAGTAAGTTGAGATGGACTCGCAGCGAGGCGTGGAGCAAGTATTAGGATTGAAAGGGGAAGTTTGTTATATTTATGAGTCCCAATGGCCCACGATGGGCTAGACGCCATTTTGCTAATCTATTAGTCATTAAGATCGATTGATTGTCAAGCGTTTTAAGAAGAGAAAAATGCAAACAATTAGATAAAAGAAAACCGAAAAAAAAAAGAAAAGCTATGCTAAATAAGAAAGAAAGAATAACAAGAATTTGGTGCAGATTCCAACACGAAATTCTTGGTTGCAAAGATCAAAATGCCTATTGGAGCGCATTAAAGGACTCCAACCCCCTACCGCCTACCTCCAAAGTCCTAATCCGATGCATTGCATGAGATAGTCTCCGCTGTCGGTTTCAGGCATTTAAAACCCCTGCTTCCCACCTGTTAGCTGTTACCCCTCCAACTGCTTGCATTTGCATTGGGTCAAATATCAATATCAGCCCCGCTACTTTACCATAATCCCCCTTTTTTTTCGCTTTTTTTTTTTTCTGAACAATGAAGGAAGATAACGAACAAATCTCCCAGACGAAACAGAGGCAAAAAATATGCAAACGCCGGTGCCTCTCAGTCGGTTGTGTGCTCATCATCTGCCTTCTGCTGATATTCATCACACTTCTTGTCCTGGCATTGACCGTATTCAAAGCCAAGCAGCCTAGAATCAAACTCCTCTCAGCAACACTTGATGGGGTCTCTCCTCGTATCACATTCCCAGTTATTAATATTCAACTCAACATCACACTCGACCTCCAACTCCTCCTTGTAAATCGAAACCATGCCAGCTTCAAGCACGGTTCTGGCAAGAGTTTCCTTTCATATCGAGGCAACCAGTTTGGGGAGGCTGACATCCCACCAGGTTTTATACCTGCGATGGGGTCCACAACAATTTCCTGCCGTCTTACACTCGAGGTTGACGAGATGGTGTCCAATATAACAGCTCTGGTCAGTGATGTATTGGATGGGCAACTTGTCGTGGATACTCGGGCGAGGATTCCAGGCAGGGTCACCTTCCTGAAGCTTTTCAAGAAGCATGCTGTAGCTACATCTGAATGCCACTTCACCATAGCTGTTCTAGCTTTCAAGATCCGAAGCCGGGAGTGCAAGACTAAGACAAAGCTGTGAGTTGGATGCGTAGCGTGTTAACTGCTTAATTTGTGACTGGGAGCGTCTTTATTTATTACTCTTTCTTTCCTTTTACTTTGTATATAGAAAGCATACGGTATGCGCTTTCTGTTGATTTGCGCTGGTCGTCATACTTAATATAGGGATGATAAAGCTCTGAATATAGAGCGTATCTTTCTTTTTGTTTTGTTTTTCTTTTCTTACACAGCTTCTAAATGCGTAAGAGTCCCCTTCTATTTTATTACACTAGAATATGTCCAGTGCTTTGCATACGGTTCCCTTTGCATCTCTTTTTGCTTGGACATCTTCTTTCTTCTCTTTTAAAATAGACGGAGTAAAATTATCAGAGAAGTTGGAGACATTTTTCTATTTTTTTTTCTCTTTCTGGAAAATTGAACTTTTGTTATTATTTTGTTTTACAAAAGTTTTACTTTCGTAGATTAAGTTTAACTTTATTTGTTTTTCTATTAGAAAATATCTAACAGAAAGAACAACGTTTAACCTTTTATAGATGCTTACTGTAAATTTATTTATTTTTTGTTTTTTCTTTAGATTTGTTATCAATTCTTTTTCTCATACTTTGCTAGAATTGTTAAAGAATATATTTTAATTTTTAATTTTACTCTCACGTCTGAACAATTTAAAATTTTTCTTGAAAACTTGTTAAAGCTCTGAGCACCCTGTTAGAACTTTAAAATCCCCTCTTTAAAGCCTCGCACGTGACAAAATGAAGAAGCCCCAAAAGGATCTTCCTTTTAATAATGCTATAGATATGTCCTGCAACATAAAATGATCTCAAGCAGTGGACCCTGAACCTCCTCGCCCAAGCCCCCAAGTCTACGATTGATAACTCAAATTGAGAAAATTATGTTTATATCAAAGGGTTGTTCTGACAAAGATTACTGCGATGATTTCTTCACATGAGCAAATATCACTTCCATTCAAATTTTTGAAAATGTCATCGTAAATATCTATGGAGTAATTAATAAATGTTGATATATTCATTCAAGAGGGTAAAAAAACGTTCTTAAAACGAAAAAAGAGGGTAGCTAAATGATAGAGATAACTATTGGCGGTACTAATGTTATTCTTAAAATAGATTAATGTGTCAAAATGGGAATGGAAATAATATTTTCTGGCATTAAATAACCATTTCATATTATTCTCTCTTTATACCCCAAACTACCAATTTTATTTTGAAATGATATATATATTCAAACTTAATCTTGTAAACATGCCTAACTTGCTTAGCCAATTGAAAGAGTAATTCTTACCTCTCAAATAGAATTAGCCTTCTTGCTTTAAAAAAAATGCTAACATACGTTTCACCAAACACCTGAAAAGCATCATTAATAAACTCTTCAGTGTAGAAACAAACACAAGGATAAGCATCTGCCATCACAAGAGTAGAATTCATATTGATGGCAGTTTTTTTAAGATAAAAAATGAACATTTGACATGAGCATAGGAAGCAATTGTAGATTTTGATATAATTTAACAACCCAGGCTCGGCCTGATGATTGCCACCCCTTTTTAAGATGACCAAAGGCTAAAAGCTTAAGTTTTGGGCCCCCTGTCACTCTAGACTCTCCTATGTATAAAAGATTAAGATGATCGAAGACTCAAAGTCCAAGGTTTGAATCCTTTCTCTCTACACTTTTATACGTATAAAAAATAAACAGTAGTTTATTGTCTCCATCTAAATATATTCCGATGAATTAAACCCAACAATCCCGAAAGTATCAATAAACCATTTACTTGAGACAAACAGAACCATCAGCATCTGCGGTCATAGCATTTCACAGGGAATACCACGCCAGTAAGCGCACTAAAGCAAACAGCTAAGTCTAAAAGCACTTTGTTGACAATAACATCTTTGACATAAAGAGTAAAACTCTCACCTCCAGCAGAGACACGGCATTAACATCCCTGACAAGTAAAACTCTATAAATATGAATCCCTGCATTATAGGGCTCAAGACACAACTGCATCTTTACATCTAGTATCTCTAAAAGCAAACCAAAGGAACATTGAACGCTCATATTTTTGCAGTTCAACAGTTCAAACAAAGGCTATCCCTTAAACGTGTGAGGGGAACATAATGTTGACTATGGAGTGCAAGCATTTCATTTTGAGGGTTAAAAAAAAAAAGGGAAAAGAAACAGAGACAGACACTGAAAGAAGAGAGGGGCCATAGATTTGAGTCACCAATGAAGCAAGAAGTTCCTCAAGCTTGACTACTACAGACAATCATCATCCGACAAATAAAACCAGTTACAAGATGGTTCAATGATGATATGCAGGGAGGATGCTCCAAAGAAGGCATAATGCAAGCATTATCCCTCGTCAAAAAGAATAAATATAGTTTAAATAAAAAACAGCTATACAATTTAATTCTACTCTGTGAACTTCAGTCAGATAGATATCTCTAAGAGCAAAAGCTATAATTAGAGGCATGGCAGTTAGGGTAGAGACACAGAAAGCAAAACAGATCCCATTGCCATGTGATTGAGTGTATACAATGATGAACTTCGTCATTACTGTTAGAATTCAAGCTTTCTGCAAAATCCCAAATCAATATTCCTTGATTTCCCAGAGGGCTTAATAGGAGCACCAGGGCAAGTTTCAGCAACTCCATTTAGGCAAGGAGCTGAAGGGGGCGTCTTACAACCATCAGAATCCCATCCTATATTTAAAAATTCATTAAGAAAACCCTCAGCTTGGTTTGAGACAATAGCTTCCAAGAGATTTTCATAAACAGACTCAAACATTTCTTCATCTGAAATAGATTCTGCATCAGTTCCACGAGTTCCAGAATCCACATTTCTGACAGAACAATCGAAATTTAGGCAGCGTGCAACACTAGTCCTCATTTCGTTAATATATTTCCTACAGAGGGGAGCCAACACCATGTCCTCTGGGCCAGGAGCAAATGGGTCGAAAACACCATCCTTTGGGGTTTTGGGACTACTGTGGTTCGCAGAAGCCAATGAGTCTTGGTTTGTGGTGGCATCAGGATCAAAGTGAGGAATTTGCTGTGATTTCTTGACCACCGTGGGCGGAGAGTTACAATTATAGGGGAACTCCCCAATTTCTCTGTTGGCATCAGGAGTGATAGGACCAAGGGAAGTTTCCTCATTACCTTCTCTACTAGATGTAGATGGATCAATAACTTCCGTATTAGCTTCCTCTATGCAAACATTATCTGATTTTTTAATTAACTTGGGAGAAAGGTCTTGGCATTTGGTTGCACAAACTCCAGTATCCATAGATCCGACAACAAAACTAAGCCAAGGAAGCTGCAGCAGAGAAAAGAAATGAAAGTAGCCCAAGATTAAAGTGGCTAATATTTACAATGGCAGTTGAATACCAAACCCTAAAACAGCATTTCAAAACTGAGCTTTTGTGTTCTAAAAGTAATCCTTCCAAAGAGAAATCCTGAGATGTAAACAAGTTAGATTCAGAAGTAAACCTAGGACAATAGGAAATCTGAGGATAAAATAAGCAAATTGAGCACGGAAGACGATTCCTTTCTAACTCGAAATCACAAACCCCAACACGAGGAATTTATGCGCTCTCAAGGAAGCAGAAAAATTCTAACAACCCTTATACTATAGGATGCAAAGGGCAAAAAACGAAGAAAAGAAACATATTTCAATTAAAAAAGAGTCACCGAAGAATGGAGATTCAAGGAAGATCAACAAATCCGTAATAAAAGGAAAAAATATCAAATTCAGAATAAAAGGAAAAAAATACAGGTAATAAATAAATCAACTATTGAATATTTAAAATAGTTAAAAAAAAAAAAACACAAAGGAAGGCTATAAGTGGTTACCTGAGGATTGGAAACGAGGCAAACACAAATGCGGGAGGCAATGCAGCAGCCGTAGCGCAGCAATGGGCAGGGAAGGGAAGTAAAGTGACTGCTTACTTTGTTTGATTAGTGAAGTAATAAAGTTAAAAGGAGGTTCCCGTCCTTGGGGACCTTTTGACTGCTCTCAATCTGTTCCCCTTTAGATTAATATAAACCGTTCGATCATTTTCTGCTGATGATAATCATAACAGAGGAGTACTAGACTGGTCCGAGTGGAGTACACTTAAGCTTTCATAGCCATAGCCTCAATCCTCAGTTGAGACATATATTGCCAATAAGCTGCTTGCACGTGGGTTGTTGTGTGCGACTGTCCAACGTGAAGCTCCAACTCTGCTGCTCCACTTCTTGTCTTACTTACCTACACAACACGGCTCATGGCTCGCTACGTTCCAAGTGACGTTCACGTGGAAAACTCAGCTTTTGTTCCTGATTAAACAAAACAAATAAAACTTACATTTGGGTGTAATGGAATGAAAACAGCTCCATAATCAGTGGTTTATTGAAAAAAATTATTGAACCTTGTAATGAGGCAGATAAAGATAATCCAGTGATTATTGAGGGTAATTAATTGAAGTACCAAAAATGCCCCTTCAAGAAAAATAGATACAAGTCGTTATAATGTTAGGTACACATTCATATAATAAAATACACTACTATTAGATAATGTACGTGTCATTTGATGTATTTTGTAATATTGGCCGTGTAAATCAAAATGGAGATTGAAGCAGATGAGTAACAACCAAAAACGTCAAAATGGTATGGACGCCCACAACTATCGGAGTAGTTCAAGAGCTTGCCTGACAAATGATCCATGACATCCATCTCGAGGGAGTTCTCTCTTAGAAAAATTTGAGAAGAAGAAGAATATTTTGAAAAGAAAAAAAGATGTGATTTTAGAGCGTGAATTGTATTTTTTAAAGTATTTATTTAATTTTTAAAATATAATAAAATTTTTAATACTTAGTACATTTATCAACTTTCTCGTTAATTTTAGAGATTCATATCGATGATATAATATAAAATATAAAAAAAGATATATTAAGAAAATAATTGAGAGAAGAATTGAGAAAAACCTTTTGATTTATTTTTCATAATAGAAGAACTTTTGATTATTTTTGATTATTTTTGATTATTTTTTCATCAAGTACAAAACTCTATTTATAAGGTTATATAAATGTGGATATTGATGAATTATCATTAATATATACATTAAGTGTGAATAAAATTTAAAAAGTTGAGAGGTTTAATGAACACGTTCATTTATTCATAATGTGTATATATATATATATATATATATATATAAATACACTTGAACAATTAACTTATTAATTAGAATATGATCTTCTTGTCTAAAGAGTAAAATTTAAATTTTTATTTTTTAATTATATATAAAAAAAATAATATATATAAAAATGTTTTTAAAATTAAAATTTAATAAATAATATTTTTCCTGCAACAAATACTAGCAAACTAATAACGGGAATGGTTTTGCAATTGCTAATAAATTTATTTATTTATTTATGTTTTAACTGGATTAGCCGATTCACTTGGAAATAAGCCCGACGGCGCTGTTTTTAAAACGATGCTTCAACTTGAAGAACTCCATTATTTGAAGTTGAAACTGAGATAGCAATGGCAAATTGCATACAGTGAGCAGTAAGCAGATGAGAAGACAGACAGTATCAAAGTTACCCGCCAAAGTCAAGGCTGCGTTTTACCTACTCACAGCCAGCGGCCTCTGTTATCAAGCTGCGTCCCATTCCAATTTTGTCCCCTTCTCCCCTGACTCTTCCGTTTTCCAAGGCCTTCTTCGCTCTTCTCGTGCAATCTTCACTGTCAGATTTCTCTCTTTGCCTCTCTCCCTCTCGGAGTCCCTTAATCCCTTTCCTGATTTTTGTTTTCCTTTTCTTTTCTTTTTCTAAACATGTTTTCTGATTTCGAGTCCTTGTGGTGCAGATTGCAGTCACCGTTTCTGACTACAAGTATTCTCTGTATGGGCTGCCAAAGTACTGTGATGAATATCGTCTTCTATTATCTGAGGTTCCTTTTTATTCCATCTTCCATTGTGTAGAACATTATTGTCCTTAAAAAACTTTGTAACTCGCATCGGAATTTTTAAGCTCCATTAAGTCACTTCCTTTTTTTTTTTTATAAACGAAAGTAAATATTAATAGAAAATTAATATTCATGGAATCTGTTTGCTGCATGTTCGCATTGATTGCTTGCCTTTTGCTTCCAAAACAAAAGGTAGAAGGTGTATTTGGATACCAAAATAAACAATTTTATTAAATAACCAAAAATTGAAAAATTGATTTTTATGATTACAAAATGTATGATTATACCTTGACCGATAATACTTGAAAAGAAACTATCATGTAACCATTTGCTTATTATTAATCAAATATGATTTTGCTTTTAACTATTTTCTTTTTTTTTTAATATTTTAGCTAGTTTTAAGAGAGCAAAATGTGAATAATAGAAGGCAAATGGCAAAAAGAAACACCAAATGGCATGTAAACATATATCTGGAGTTTTAGACCGATGTGTTCTTGATGTTTCTGTGCATCTTGATTTTTCTGGTTGAGTAAGATGCCATACTTTCTGTTACTGTTAGAGGGTTGAAGTTGCTTTCAACCTAAGCAAATTTAAGGAATATAGTTCCTTTAATGGAGGCCTTCATTTTCAACTGAGTTACCTGTTGTTGGAAGAATCTCTTAACTGCATTTCTTCCCCCATGACTACACTAATAAATGAAGTATATTAGTAAGAGCTTTATAGTATTAAAGCTGCTATAATTAAGAAAACGAAGAAGAAAACAAAACCTTGTCAACTCTGATGTTATCCTATAAAATACCTTACAAAAGAAACTCATTCAAGGAAACATCAGTTGATGTCACCTTCTTATTTGTTCCTAAATCTTGTCAAAGGAACAAAATAAAATTCTTTGAATGAACTTTGTGTACACTCCAAAGGCTGTATAAACAAGCTTCAGCTTTGGTGAATGTTTGATCTTACATATGCCGTAGATACTAATATTTGGTTTTGTGGTGCTAATTAGGTTCATTTGCGCTCAGCTAAGAGAATGCTGAAGTTATGTGAAATGAATAAAGGTTTTTATTTGAAAGCCGGTCAATTTGTTGCTTCCCTGCGTCAGGTCCCAAAAGAATACTCATCGACCCTTTCTTCGTTGCAGGATCAGGTATGGTTGATTTTATTCTCTTCCGTGCATATAATGTTATCCAGGAAGAGATACCTTATAGGTTCTCATTCTAAATCCTGGTTCTATGATACTGTAGGCAGTTCCTTGTGATTTTAAGATCATAAAAGAAACAATAATCAGCAATCTTGGTCAGGATCTGTCTGAGATGTAAGTTTCATTACTTTAATCATAGTTTGGATTCATTTAACTGTTAACATCTTTCCTCACTTTTTCCATATTTCCGTTGTATAATTTCATCCTGACAACTACTAAGTGTGTACTGGCTAGCATATAGTCCAGATAGTATTCTACCTCCCAGTGCTGTCGGGGTGTATGCTCAGGCACTATGGCATAGCGAAAATCAAGAAAAGCGAGAAAAGCATATCGCACCTTACCTCACATGCTTTTTGTGGCAAGGTCATTTTTTTTAAATAATTTTTTTAGGTGGAAAGGTGCATAAAAAGGACTCTGACCTGAGTGTCCCTTTGGTTTCTTTACATTTTAAGTTTTTAATATGCTATTCTTTTAGGGCATGCTTGGTTGGGGGGAATGGAATAGCCATTCCTTCCCTATTCTCATTCCTGAGATAAAGTTGCATTTGGTTCAATGGAATAGCTATTCTTCGGAATAGCCATTCCAAGAGAAGCCTCAATAGCCATTACAAAGGCTCCCCTTGGTAATAGCTATTCCAAATTGTTGGGACTAAGAAAAGAAGTTGATTAGACAAATTCACCTTCGTACAATTTAAAAAATTACCTTATAAAAAAATAATAAACCTATTTTTTCTCTCTCTTCGTCACTCCTTCTCTCTCTAAAACACAGAAGATATAAAATTTTTTACTTCATTTCCAAAAAAAAGGAAATAAAAATATTTAAATATTATTTAATATAATAATATTATTTAACTATAATAAATATTATAAAGAATATTATTTAATATTGTTATTTGAATACAATAAATGTAATAAAGAATATTATTTAGTATTATTTAAATTTAATGAAGAATATATTTTATCTTTTAATATTAAATATTATTTAATTATAATAAAAGGTTTAATTATCTTCTAATACAAAATATTATTAAATTATAATAAAATTATGTTTGTGTTTTGGTGAAAATATTATTTAATTATAGTAAAAGTTATTTTGATTTTATTACTTAGAATATTTTTATCTTTGATCAAAATAAATTCTTAAATTTTAATAAAGAGCATTTTTTTCTCATCATAATATTTTGGTTTTTAATTAAAAAATCATTAAATTTTAATAAAGGGTATTTTTATCATTTACCCATTATTCCGTAACTATTCTTAAAATTATTCTTGCCAACCAAACAATGGAATAAGTAATAATAGTAATTTCTATCCTATTCCATTCCTATGAACCAATCTACATAATAGTTATTCTTCTCCTATTCTATTCCCATTCTATTCTTTCCAGTAAACCAAGCATGCTGTTAATAGTTAAAAGAGGACATTAGCTCTCTTTATAAGAATGACAGATTGGGTCATCCAGCGCTCAATGTTTTGTTTATGATGAAGGTGAAGGAAAAATAACCAGAGAATACCAATAAATAATAAATCTAAGCCTACCTGAAACTAAAATAACTTAGGTACTTATAACTAAGCCTAAAACATAGAATACCAAATACAACCCTAAAGCCCTAATACTAGGAAAAGAAGTAAAATGCTAATTAATATAAAAGAACCTAAATAATCTAAAATAGCCTAAATAAATGTAAAAATTACAATAAGAAATATTAAGTACAGAATGAAGTCCTAGATAACTTGATCTCTCAGCATGCATATTTCTGTCCTCCATTAGAAATGTTGAGCTTTGTTTAGTGATTATTTCTAGTTTAATATGATAAATTTTATCTCAACTAGCTTTGTTTGCGTCTCATGCATTTTAACCTTGTTCATGTAAGTAAATGAAAGTCTAACATATGATAGCATTTCAAAAAAAATGTCAAGTAATATATTTTTTGAAAACTCTTAAATGAGGGAAATTTTAAAAATCTATCAGAAGTGTTATGAGGATTTAGAAAAATTTTAATAAGAAGGTTTCATTTGCTTTTTAGTATAAATTATGAATATATTATACTATTAATTAATAGTTACTTTCAATATAATTATTTTTTTTAATTTTAGTTTATTGCATTATTTGAATTATTATTATTGAGAAAATAATTTTCTTAATTCTTATAGTATTGAATAGTTTATAAATTATTATTACAAACAATTATTTGTACCTCAAACTTTATACTATATAATTATTTGTATTAGAAAGTATTTATTTATAATAAATGACAAGTATTTACATGCAACGAATGTAAGAGCAAATATTAATATTCTTTAAAAAGCTAAATCAATATCTTTGGACTAAAATAGCCTTATTTCTTCTTCTACTAACCTCCCTTATCTCTTTATACCAAAGACAAATATCATTTGGCTGTTTAGGAATATTTGGCAGCGGGTCCCTCAAGAGTTTACTAGTTGACTAACTTGGTGGACAGTCAAGGGGTGAAAGTGTCTATTTTCAAACTAGAGAGGGCTTTAGGTACTTTGAAGGCAAGATGGTGTAACAAGGTAGCTCATTATTTTTTGTAGGTACTTTCAATAGAAATAGATTAAAGTTTTGAATATGGACCCTAACATCTTGTTTTAGATCCTATAGAACCAACAGAAAAGGGAAAAGCAAAATTCTATTCATTGCTTATGTTGGTAAAATCTTGTCTATGAAAAACATAAATTTTCTATTGACTAGAAGATTATTGTGTAAATTTCAGTTTCATTTGGTTTAATGAACAACCAATAGCTGCTGCGTCCATTGCTCAAGTGCATCATGCAATGTTGAAAGACCATCAAGAAGTAGCAATTAAGGTTTGTTGGCAGAATATTTGATTTTAGTTAACTCCTTTATTGATTTTCTCTTTGTACTCAATGTTGATGTCTTTGTCTTATACATAGATGGGTAGAGTTAATAGAGAGATTTCTAATGCCATTCATAGATGCATGCATGGAACCATTCATCTGGATCTGGCAAAAATCTATCCAAACCTGCAAGCCCAGCTGAACCCACTTAGTACCCTACCTGATCCAATGTGAGTTGAATGAAATAGTCAATGACCCGAAACTCAAAGATACCAAACCTGAAACACTTGAACACAAAATGACATGAATCCGAAATGACTCAACCTGAAGCAACTCGAACTTGAGACTGGTCCAATCATGAAATCCTAAATTCATGAAATAAAGGATGTCTTTACTTTGCATACTATTTGTAGTAACTAATCAATATGCTAAATTCATGAAATCCTAGTTAAAGTAAACTTGCATAGAAGTATGTAAAACATATGTATCACCATTTTTATTCATTATGTCATTTATTACTTTCATTTTGTTCATGCATAAAAAACAGAAGGAAAGAAACTATTTTTTTTTTATTATTATTTTTACCTGTTATTCCCATTGTTTTTACCATGATGCTTGTTGAATACTGTCTGATTCATTAAAGTTTGTTAATATGGTTTGTAAGTATTTGTTTAATTTGTTAAAGTTTGTTCATGTTAATATGGTTGTAAGTCTTTGACAACAAAATGCTTTTCCTTTTATGGAGAATAGGTGCAATACCCGGGATTAGAGAAGAAAATGAAGTTAGACACAAGAATAATGCAGTTCGTTTCGAAATCTGTTGCATGGGTATGCACTGAATTTCTTAATAATTGTTCTTAATATTTGTCAAATGATATCAATTTTGTTTTTCTATGACTTAAGATTGTATTTACCATGTTTGGTCATTTCAAATAGGTTTTCTGAAAATGAATTCTACCCTTCCTGTAGATTTTCACTAAGCTATTTGATGTAGATCTTGTAGATTTTTGCATGTAGTCATGTCATTCTTTTTCACCTTTATCAATGCTGCTGGGGACTTTTTCAGCTGTTAAAGTACTTAGGAGGTCCCTATACTAGTTCAAAAAGTGTACTTCTCCCTCTACAATGTACTTTGACATTTGTGAACAATCAAGGACAATCAATAACACTGTGACCCGTTATCTATGCTAACTGGGTAATGACTGTTGTTAGCATAAACCCTTAATTAAAATTCCATGTCAGCATACAGATACTTTTATATTCGACATCATCAACTTGTTAGTGAAAGTTACACATCAATGCTATGTCGTCACCATGTTAGCTTAGGTAACAATCCTCTTTTACGGTGTTATCAATTGTCCTTAGTTGTTTACAAATATCAAAGTATAGGATTAAATTACTCAAAATTTAGATAGAGAGACTAAAATACGTTTTTCGATTAGCACAGGAACCTCCTTGGTACTTTAACATCTTTTCTGCAGCAACTTTGATAAAATCATGCCTTCACTAGATTTTCGTTTATGTTGCCAAACCTTCTACCATAGTTTTGCTCTTTATTTTCCATGAAATTGGAATGACTATGAAGGCTTTACTCTAAATGGTGAAGATGATAGCACTTACAAAAGGGCCTTATTAGCATGTTAAAGTCAGTTTGTGATTAAGAAGGGATATCGTTCATTGAAGTTATAAGATGGACCAACAGAGGTTGAAAAAGGAGGAATAGGCTATAAGCTCGGAGTTCACTTGGGGCAACTAAGGTAGCATTGTGATTCAGAGACAAAATGTGCCTTGGGCTTGATCCCTCATACATGTGACCTAGATTTAAGCAGTAGTTGTAATCTTAGGTGGTGGCCATAAGTAGAGGTGACAAATTTAACCCGAATTAGAATACCTATCCTGAAGCTGAAACCAACCCAATTCAATTTGACAAAAAAAGACAAAAGCCTGAATCCAAGATGACCTGAACTTATAATGGCTTGAGCTCAATACGAAAATCACTATATTTGAAATTAAATGATGTTGTACAAAATGCAAAATTACCACTAATTAACTTGTTTTTTCTACTTTAATCAAATGTTAAAAATTTTTAAAAATAATATTCCTTATAATATAGTTATATAACGTATTTTCAACCTTTTGAAGGTTAAGATCTATGCTTTTCAATTTTTAAATGGTTGTTATGCTTATCTAAAATTTGATTTAAAATATGCTGAATATAAAATTATTCTACATATTCAGTTTTAATTTTTATCCAATTTTATTGGTGGGATAGCTGGATAGGAAGGATTTTATATTTATGTGATATATTATCAATTTTCAAATTTATTTTTATCGCATTTTATATTAAAATATTATTACATTAATTTGTAATAGTAACTTAACATCAATCATATTATAAGTCAAACCATTGTTTTGTCCTAATTTGTGAAAATGGCTACATGAAACCCAAAAATGACTCAAAACTACTTAAACCTGAACTCGAATGAGCCAGACCTAAGATGATCTGAACTTCAAATAGCCTGAACACGAACCTACCCATTTTGCCAGCTCTACCATGCCACGGTTTTCTTGCTTGCCAGGGGTTCATTATTGAAGCTATGGAGGTACATGCATGAAGTGTATATCATGGATAAGTGTGGAATGTGGTTGGAAAGTGATGGTGGATGAAAATAGAAATTTCTAGCGGTAGCAAGAGAAAGTAAAGAAAGAAGTGGAAAAAACAACTGAGAGTTTTAAATTTCTTAAATGAATAATATTGAGGTGGAAAGGGGTGGTCTTCAACCAAATAAAGGTTTGCCTGACATGTTCTGAACAATTAAACAGGCCGGTTGGGTTTTTGAGCATCCATGTGAAATGTAAGGAAGATATTGGACTCTTCTTTGGGTCCTAGCCAAGCTGACCAGACTTAATGTTCTATAAATATTCCCATAGTCAGAATTTCTTTTTTTTAAAAAAAGGTAGGGTCTGACAGGTAATCCATGAATTAATCTTATCAATAGCTTTGCTCTTCAAATTAATGATCCTTAAAGTGGAGCTAGATGTCTAGTTATCTCAAAATTAATAAGCAACAGCAGTGTGTACCATTTAGGAGTTGCGGTCCATTTTTATTCCAAATGTGGTTTCTGCTACATTAAGCTGGATCTGGAAATGAGAAAATAAATAATGTTGGCATGGAGATGTCTTTACTTTTTTCCCTTTAAATTATACTTATGTTAGATCTCCTAATCTTCTCTCTCTCTCTGTTCAGTTTTTCCCTGAATATAGGTTTGGGTGGCTGGTCTCAGAATTCACTAAAGCAGTTTCTATGGAGCTTGGTGAGTTATAGAGTTGTCTTTGGCAGTCGTGTCTGCTATTAATACATGCTGCGAATTAGTTCTTCGGTTTTATATTTCATAGTCAGTTATGATCGTCAATCAAGTTGGGAATGTATTGTGTGCCCATGGTTTCATGTTTGTTTGGTACTGTTCGGTGAGTATTCACACGTCCATAAAATTCCTGATTCTCATAATATATTCTTGTCACTAGTCTATTTGAGTTTATGCCTCTTCCATGATCCGAATAAGAGTTTGAATATGATCGAAAGGTTTAATAAAATGAAAATATATATTTCTGGGGATTTTGCTTTTTCCTAGACAAGTGTCTCAATGCTGAATTATGGTTAAACTTCAAGGACTTCTGTGTAATTTACTCAAAGATATATGTCTGAATCGAGAGACCAGGATATCAGCTGATATCCTACTTACATTTTATTTTCAACTTTAAGTTGCTTACTTTAATGGCTGCAATATTTTTATTGGTTTTTCCCTCTATGTCTCCACAGATTTTATTCAAGAGGCAAGAAACTCTGAGACAATTGCCAACGGCTTTAAACAGAACAAGATTGTTAGGGTACCTCATGTATTTTGGGTATTACATCGTTGTTCTACTCTTAATTTTCTACTTCACCATTTGTTGAATAAATTCCATTGAGTATTTCATGTTTCCAACAAGGTGGGAACATGTAAAAAGCTTGGTTATATAAGATTTACTTCCACTCTTCAGGAATTTACGACAAAACAAGTTCTCACAATGCAGTTTTGCAGTGGCCACAAGGTAAGGGCAAATGGCTTAGTAATCTGTTTTATATTTTTTAGGTTATGTATGGTGCTGTCGAATTTGAGGTTTCTTATAACTCCTTACCATTGCAATGTATCTAACTCTTGAAGTTAGATGGCTTGTAACTGGTGCTATATATTCTATATTATATATTTTTTTTAGCAAAATATTCTACAATGATTGTTTTCTTTTATTTGTAGTAATAATATGATATTGTTCTGAATTTATGAAGTTTAAATATATCGTGTAAAATAGTATATGATCCCCCTCTTGGGTTGATTGTTTCTCTGTAAGCCAATCTGAGTTGTAACCAAACTTCATCAATTCTTTCTTGGAGCCAACTGAAAAACTCTAAAATCCTGAAATAAAAGTGTCTATTTATTTTTCTTTTTGAGCTTTCCTAATATCCATGTATCTTTATATTACTTTTCCGGGGTTTACCTGCATAGTGTGTGACTGGTTTACATATCTCTGACGCAAGGTAAGCTACAGATTGTAGCTTTATGGGATGAGACAAAGAGAGTAATAATTAGAGGTTGGCTTAGAAAAGCAGCTTAGATTGCTTTGCTAAGGAAAGATTAAGCTATTATCAACTTGGGAAAGAACTGCTGCTGGATGATAAATTGAACTAAATCAAATGAACTAGAAATTACTAGCATCAATGTAGAGTTACTAAGTATTAGACCTCTGAGGTATGCGTCATATATTGAAGGATTATGTTACACTACGCAAGCACCATGATGCCTCAGATACCCTCATTGTTTAATTAACTTCAAAAAGTTTTGCCAAGCTTTTACATTGTGGTATACAGCATGCACACTGGTAAAAGGCAATTCCTTGACTTTCATGCAGAATTATGTGGTCATTGAATCACAGTTCCACCTAAAGGCTACATGAGTAACAACTGAAGGAGTTAAGCAAGCTTTACACCACTTAGATATAGATTTGATATGAGATTCTTGGTCTGTCACATCCTTCACACTATATAATCATGGGATTTTATCACATTGGACTTCAAGTCCAATAAAAAGCTATAGTCAACAAGTGGAAGCTTGGGTTAGGTTCTTACACAATGTAGGTTTCAAATATTGAAGCATGTGAGTTTATTGATCAACTTGTGCTGGGTATTGGATGCTGTGTTACACTTGAGTCTTTACTTTGGTTAGTAAGATGCACACTCAATTAAATGTGCAAGTGTCAATATATGTAGTATTTCTTTGAAAAGGAAGAGCAATAAAATAAAATGGTTTTAAATGCATTATAAAATTTTAGTTGACCAAACAGTTACTGATGTTGGATTTTGGAAAATCCATTTTTAGGCTTTAAGACTTGCGTATCTTTTCACTTAACAACTCTACAACTCTTTTTGTTGAAAATAAACTCTCTTGTTCTATCTTCCTCATCTTCAAACCTTTTCTCTACTTAGTTGGGTTCGATTTGTGAACTTCTTGTCATTGGAATCACTTGCTTTGGAACATGATGCAGGCTAGGGGGTTGGATCATTTGTATCGGGTGACAGTACTTTTAGATGTGGTAGTGTACTCCATAAACATGGTCTAGATAGACTTGGCAGTTGTAAATCAGGCTACCTAGTAAGCTTGCTAATTAAGAGTTGGATCAATTTGGGCTTTGCTATAGCCTGATCAGTAGCCTTAGCTTTCTTCTGAAGGGCAGATTGTTAGTTATAACTGCTACTCTGATCTCAGGAGGATTTTATTCTGTCTGAAACACTGGCATCAGCATGCTGATGTGGCCAAAGCAAAACAACCATGATCCCTTGACTAAAAATCATGTGATATTTATGCAGCATCTTTAGAACTCAAGTGAGTGGCTCTAAGAAAGAGGAGCAATTTTACTATACTTTTCGCTTGGCCTTTTCAAGATAGCATCACTACTTTAATAGTGAAATCAAGATGGATAGACCTGTTCTAATTGCTTTGCTTAGGGGGGTGGGGATGAAGAAAGATATTTGTTGGAATTGAACACCTGAGCATGGCATATCAACTGGGATATTGATTTTGGCTTGTTTCCATTAATTAGCAATATTATAACTGGTTTGATTGGAATTTAATAATATTTACTTTTGATCCTTGACAAGGAGAGGATAAAGGTAGAGTTGACACTGGGTGCAAATTGTGTGCCCCTCACTAAATCAGCCTCTAAACTATTGGGAAAACCTTTAAATGGTAACAATTATCGAATGTGAGGTTACTAATTTTAGAAGATTGCTTCTGGCATTGATTTCTGAATTTATTTTCATCATGCATACAGCTAACTATTGTACAGTTGCTTATGTTGCACTTGAGATCATGTGTATATTATGCTTTTGGCTTGACTGTAATGTACCATTAACAGGAAGTTTCTTATCTTTCAGGTTGATGATGTCGAATTTCTGAAGGGAATGAAAATAGATCCAGTGAAGGTTTTCTTTTTTTGCGAGAAATAATTTTTTTAAATTTTGTCATGACGGGTGATGAGTTTACTGCAATTGCAATTATTTATGCATATTGTTTTAAATTCTGGATAATACTGTCTTATGGGTAGGTGAGTAAATCCTGTGTCTCAAGTTTCTTTGTTGATGGTGGAACATCTCTAAATTGGGTATCTTAATTTCTGTATGTATGGTCGTTGAATTAGCTACCATATTGATTTTGATGGGCATTCAGTAGTTCATTCTATTGCACTGAAGGAAATTCACTTACTCAGGTTGGCTTCACTTGGTTTCTTTTGAAGGTTGCTAAGGCATTGGTGGAAGTGTTTGCAGAAATGATATTCATTCATGGTTTCTTGCATGGGGATCCACACCCTGGTAACATATTGGTATCTCCAGAAGGTCGGGATGGCTTTTCTCTGGGTATGTCTTGAATCTTTTAATTTCTCTCTAAGATAAGATTTACTAATCATGCTAATATGCATATGGACCTTTATGCTGAGATGGTGAAACATGCAGTTCTTCTGGACCATGGAATCTGCAAAAAATTGGATGAAGAGTTCAGGCTGGAATATTGTCAGCTTTGGAAGGCTTTGATTCTTTTGGACTCAAAAACGATACAGCATTTAGGTGAACGTTTTGGTGTTGGGAAGTACTCCAGATATTTCCCCATCATTTTCACTGGAAGAACGATTGATAGGTGATCTACCTTTTTTTTGCTCTATCCTTTTCTAATTTCTGTTCTTGAATCTTGCTATTTGTCAAGGATTTTTTGTTATGGAGACATTAAGTAGAATGCTGATGAAGTGTTTCCTTTCAGAATTTGAAGTAAAATCAGTAGTGGAAGAAGTTTATATTTTTGCAAGAACTTTGTAAGGATAGTATTCTCATTTCTGATGGCAACACTTAGCAAATGTAACTGTCAAGATTACCATACTTCACCTTAAGATGATGCTAGATATCATAGGTTTTGTCAGAGTGGCCTTGGTTCTAAGATATAAAGGTCGGCCATCCTTTGTGAGGTCATAAGTTCAAATTCCCCAACCCTTATGCATGACAGTGTAATAATAAAGATTATTGGTTTATTGCAGCATAAGCTAGGCTGTTCTAGAAAACACAATTAATTTTTGTTTCCTACTTTTGATCCCTCATAAAACTTCACAATAAGATAGTACTCCACTTGTCAAAACTTGAGATGAAGAAAAAATTTGTAGTTATGTGGTTTTAAATTAAAGGACAATGGAATTATAAATCAACTTTACGTCATTTATTCTCAAGAAAGTTGGAACCATACCTACTCCCCTTGTCACCTCTTTACCATAGGAATTGAAACCGAAGGGCACTATTTATGTTGCATCTACAGATCAAGCCATGGTCTGATTTTGATTAATTTTTCTTCCTTTGATTCATGTTGTCGTTCTTCCTAACTTTTGTTTTTCATTCTGCTTGTTAAGGTAAAAACAAGGTACTACTTTCTGGTGCAATTTTTATTCTGACATGATAAGCACAATCTTGAAAGTGTCCTTCTAGGTTAGATGAAGTGCAGCTTCAGTGACATGCCTCTTGTAATTCCTGTCAGCACTAGTTCTCATTTGTGTACACAATATTAAGTGATTTTCCCTTTAAGAAAGACAGTGGTTTGTGGGTGTTCAACAACATGCCATAATTAATTTCTATTCACTTTTGAGTTCTTGTTTGTAGGTTCCTATGTTATAATGCCTGAAGCATTTCGCTGATATACTAATTCATCTTTTCATTCTTCTTTTTCTGTGTTTTTGTTTTGGGAGAGGAATGGGCTGTAGAGAGACTGAGAGGTTCAATTTAGTGACACATTTATGACATCTTAATAGCTGTGATACCAATCTAATTGCCAATTTTGTATTCTGATTGGCAGTAAACCTGGTCTTGGGAAGGAAATGTTGGTTGAAGAGAAAAAGAAACTGAAACAAGATTTAAAGTCTCTAAAGATGGAGGACTTATCTTCATTCATGGAATCTCTGCCTTCGGACTTTCTCATGATATTGCGAACAGAGTAAGATAGATAAATTCAGTAGCTTATTTGGAGTTTAGTAACTCCTAATCTTGCTTTGTCATTTCTTTTTTAGTGAATTACTGAGATCTATAATTAGCAAGCTGGGTGCTTCAAAACGGGTGAGGTTGCAAACCTATGGCAAATATGCCTCACATGGTCTCTCTCGGCAGTTGAATCCTTGCTCTGGTAAATATTTCTTCCAATTTTTAAATCAGTCTTAATCTTGCTAAGCAGGAGAGAGCTTTCTAATGCATTCGTCTCCATGTGCCTGTGCCTGTCCTTGTGTGTATGTTCATTTTTGAGTGTATGGTGAGAGAGGGATTTATATTCCTGAACTGTTAACATTGCTAAGTTGGAAAACTTTGATTATATGGGCACGAAGTATTGTTGTAATTAGAAATTTAACTAATACTATTATTTTTCTTGTTCTTTTTGTCAGATTTGACGTTAGTGGTCTTATATGCGAGATTGATAGGAAATATACAATACATTCATCTAAAGCTTGCTCTGGGTAAGGGCTTTTTTCTACTAGTATCTTTTGATCATTCTTTGTAGATGGTTAACAAACCATGTGAGGAAGGGTAGCAGAATGATTGAAATGTTTCAATATTTTCAGGGGTAATGGAATTGGTTTTTTGGATGGGGAAGTTGAAGCAATCTCTCAATAACTTTTATAAAAAGATGAGTGGTTCCGGAAAAAGGCCTTTTGACATTGTTCTTCAACATTAGAGTGTAGATTTTTATTTATTTATTTTGTATTAGGAGAAAGTTGAAGGTGCAAAAAGAGATTCCTGCTTAGATCTCAATTTGCTCAAGGAGGGGTAACAACCGCAGTTTGAAGATTGGTCGGAGGGAATATTGAGCGTTGCACGATAATTGTGAATATGAAAGGGCAGAATGGAGGGCATGGCCAAAGCTATACGACACAGTCTTGTACCTGTTGTGAATTTCCTACAATTCATTTGTTTGCAAGCATGTATGTTTCTCCCTGACAAAGTTCACTACAAATGAAGAAATTATAATTGATGATAAATTTGATCTTTGAAGAAATTATGTAGAAAATAAATCACGAGATTCAAAACACAGGTTGGCAGTTGGCAGTTGGCAGTGCTGTTATTTCTGCCTCTGCTTTAGGTTTTTTTTTTTATGACATCTTCACTTCTTTTTTTACATTTATTTCATTTTGGTGAAGATATAATTTGTAATTGATTTTCAGTCGACATATGATTTGTAATTTACTAATATAAAATTGTTCAAAAATAGGAAGAATCCTCGGCAATTAAATCAAATCAAAATAAGGGATTATGGATCAGATTCCTGGCTTGGATTCTCATGAAAAATGAGAATCTAATCGCACAGTATGTTCAGCGTCGATCATCTGGGGAAATAATCATCACTTCCATAATAATTAAATTCAACAAAAACTAAAAATGAAACATAATTAAAATTCATTTGAAATTTGGAAGGAGATGTATTTAAGTTGTGGCTTGCAATCTCTTAACGAATTAGAGAGTAGAGAAAAATATGGCACAATCGGTGCAGATTCAATCATCTAACTGAAATGCTCCCCACTTCCCTCTGATTCTTAAAAAAAACAAAGAAAATAGAAAACAAAGAAATATATATATATAAATTTAAAAATGTTGGCGCATCTGTATGCATAAAACTTGATGGGAAACAAACGAAATGCCAGAATCTCAGGCCCAAATTGATATAGGCAACGTACAGCGCTGAAGTCGCTATTTTAATACAAGCGCAACAGTGACTCTAATTTATTACCTTCTTTTACGAAAATCCCCAGCCGAAGATAACACAGAGAGAGGGGAAAATTTTAAAGAGAGGATGAAAAGAGTTAGGCTGGGGGAGCAAGAGGAGGAGGAGGAGGCGGCGGATTATAAGTCTGGAAGAGATGACCAAGCCCTAATTTTCTTGAAATTACAAGAGTAACCTTGTCTCCCCAATTGGGTTTGTTCAGCTATTTTTGGGCAAAAGATTGGGGTCGGGCGGTGGGAAGTTTGAATAATAGGATTTTTGTTTTTCTGCAGCCCAAACTCATATTACTCTTAAAGCCCAAAATAAGAGAGTGAAGAGTCCACCAGTACCACCATTATGACCCAAAAAAAAAAAAAAAACAGTCTACAATCAACAAAATTGGATAAAAGGAAAGTGCATTAACTACCACAAATCTATTTACCATAAAAATAGAGCATTTAAGATGCCAACCAAGAATTTCCTTGTTTCACTCATAACAATCAAACACAAATACTCAGAAAAGAGCAATAGTAAGAGTGGGCTGTCAACAAATATTAAAAAAACCAAAGTAAATATCATGGTAATGGTGTTGTTGTTTTACAAAAGTAAGAAAAAGTTAATTAAGAAGCCTCTTGGGTATCCACACACAAATGCAAAGATAAGAAGCTGTGGTCAAGTTGAAGAGTTCAACTCAACTCACAAATGCAACATCTACATTTTTATCTTCCTATTCTATCATCAGCAGCTTCATCACTAAAGGTTCCAGTACCATAAAAGTCATCCTCACTCCCCGTCTCTATAAAGGATACATCATATGACAATATGAAGAACAATTTAAGCAGATAAAACAACATGCATTAACACAAGACACATGATACATCCATAACTTTTTTACATAATCACAAGAGTTTTCTTTGTTGCTTGTGAGCTTCATCGATAATGAGAAAAATTGAGGTAAAGTTTGATAGATAACTGTGTAGTGTATAGCAGCATCCATGGTTACCAAATGATTCAATTGGTTAGATGAAATGATATTGCAACTTGACAGAGTTTGATTGGTCGGCCATGAAGAAATATAGGGTAACAAAACGCCCATTTTGGTGTAAAGGCAGGGAGTCATCTTGTATTCATCCCACCATGTGCAAACTTAAGAATTTACAATATAAATAAAACCTATGTAAACTAGTGATAAGATATATCAAAGTAACAAGATTACAATATCAAGGTAAGCTAAGATAAAGCTAGATCCATTTATCTCTATGATTTGAATTATTATTGAAGATGAATTGTCTCTAATAATATAAATGTATTGTTTGGTTATATGATTGACATTAAATTGGGGTATGTAAAATAAAAATTAATGTGATAATAAAAAAAGAGAAAATCAATGAGAGGTCTTGTCGATTTAAAAATTTTGAGATTTCAAGTTTAATTTTTCATTCTAAGTGGATTTAGTTTAATTTTATGTTAAATTTATCTGTATCTAATTGCATGCTAACTTGTTAATTAATTTTTTTGTTCAACTTATTTCATTAATTCTTTTTATGGGAGATTTTTTATTGTATTGGTAATTTGTGACTTTATTAGAAAAGCAAAGAATAAAAAGGATATTTGTAAATGAGTCGTTATGGTTGGTGAGGGACGATAAATAGTGGGTTAGGTGAGGTCAAAAAGTCAGCAATTCGCATATCATCTTCTTCTAACAAAGCTGCCCAGTTTTGATTTTTCATCTAAAAAGCACAAACATTTGAGCAGAAATCAGTTAGGCTTAACACTAAAAGCAATGGCTTTTGAGAAGATCAAGGTCGCCAATCCCATCGTTGAGATGGATGGTATCTCTCTTTCTTTCAGCTTTTCTTTTCCCCCTATCCGCAGATCTCCCTCTCTCTGCTTCTGGTTCTGCTTTCTCTTTCAGATTCAAATTGTTTACTTTGCTTAGAATCAATATTAGCTTCGCATTGAGATCCGGACTTGTTCTTTGCTCTAACTGTGGTTGATTTTCGATTGGATGCAAAGGTGTTGATCCGATCATTATATTGACATTTCTTTCTTTACTTGATACACTTGGGAAAAAGAAATAAAAACCAAAACTTAAACTGTTTGTGGATGCCAATCTGGACTTGTTTTGAGTCCATAACCTATGGAGATGCCGCTAGTCTCTATCACCAATCAAATTAATCATCTCATATCTTTATACAAGTTTACAATAATAATAGATCCTGCAACATTTCATTTTGAGAAACTTAGGTCATTTCATTTTCTGTAAACCATTTTTCAGTTGAGTTCTAGAATGTGGGTTTAGTAAATGCGAAAAACAACTTTTTTTTCAAATATATATTGAAGCAGTTAAAACATGTTTTATTAATTTCATTTTTCTGCTATTGTGAATTTCTATTTTCTCAGAAATCTTTTTCATTTCGATCAGCCTAGGCTTTGCTTGGCTGGAAGATGGAAATGAGGAATGAAGGAAAAAGTTATAATGCAATGGTTAAGCTCCAAAGCAGGAAGCTGAAAAAGGTTTCCATCCTCCATAACAAGCAAAGCCTTTCCAAATCTAAAAGGCCAAAAATGGAAAAGAGGACTGTTTTCAAATCAAAGCCAAGAACATCCTTTTCACTATTTGTGTGCTAGGCAGTCCTTTCTTAATCAGCTGTTTATTCGATTATGTTGACTGTTATGTGATGTTTTTAATGAGCTCTTATGCAGTAGGCAGGACTCAGGAGATCTTTCATTAATATATAACTAATAAATTTGCTACAGCATGCTATCGTACTGGCACTACATGGCTTGTCGTGAAAAGTTTACTCTAGGGAAAAGAATAATTTCTTGACATTGGATTGAGCATGTTGTAGAAAACCTTTTAGGAAACTACATATATGCATATATATGGCGAGGTATGACGATTGAGTTTTTGTTGAGGAGGGAAGATATCTTTGAGTTTTATAAATTTTATGAGAAGAATGCCACAAGGCATATCTTAAGCGTTTTAAGACTTTGACAATGTTGTACATTATACCTTGCAGTTTCTTTGTGTTGGTTCTGTTGAATTGGCATAATCACTATTAGAAATTCTTTTGTTGCTGAACGTTCTTATATTTCTCCTCCTGATCCCATGTGCTTGTTCATTTATGTGCCACAGGAGATGAAATGACCAGAGTTATTTGGAAATCTATCAAGGATAAGGTGATTCATTGATCTGAGTATGATGCTTTGTATATAATATTTGTCAAAAGATTTAAAGATAGTTTTTGTGAACTTAACATCCTTCGATTTTTCTGCAGCTCATTTTTCCCTTTCTGGAGTTGGACGTTAAGTACTTTGACCTTGGCCTTCCATATCGTGATGCCACTGCTGACAAAGTTACAGTTGAAAGTGCAGAAGCTAGTCTTAAGTATGTTTTTGTTATTTCTTTCTAAAATTCCTACATAATGATAATATCTCTTTGGACTAATATTTAGTCAATGCTGTTGTTCCTAGTGGTAACTTAATTGGGTCCATGTACTTGCATTTTATTATAAGAGTTTTCTTCTGCTGCTGATCCCTAGTACTTTTGGTTCTTATTTTAGGTACAATGTAGCCATCAAGTGTGCTACTATTACTCCAGGTATACATTGTTGAACTATTCTGAATTTCTTGCTGGAAAGAAGCAAACATTTACTTGTTGAATTAGTGAAATTTGGATTCTTACTAGATGGTGATATTCATTAAAGTTTGAAATTGGGCAAGTTCTTACAATATGGTGTTGGTGATTGTCAGATGAAGCTCGTGTTAAGGAGTTTAACTTAAAGCAAATGTGGAAGAGTCCTAATGGGACAATTAGGAACATTTTGAACGGTTAGCATTATTGCATTCATATCTTCACTGAAAAATTTTCCTATTATTTTGTGTTGGTTCAATAACTAGCTATTTTGGTTGGCATAAACTTTCAGGTACTGTCTTTAGAGAACCAATTATTTGCAAAAATGTCCCGCGATTGGTCCCAGGTCTCTAAGTTTTTTTATGTTGAAGTTCTATATGTTTTATTATTATTTTTTTTACATTTATATGAAGTGACACTGACTTCTTGTCTCATCAGGTTGGACGAAGCCTATATGCATTGGAAGGCATGCTTTTGGTGATCAATATCGAGCAACTGATGCTGTCATTAAAGGAGCTGGGAAACTAAAACTCGTTTTTGGTAAATCTTTTCTTTGATTGATGATTCCTAAGATTCCGTTGCTTTTTTACAATTGGTATTTTCTAATTTTCAGCACAACTTCATTCATAAATAACTGGGTTATTGATTTCTGTTGTTTGCAGTGCCAGAGGGACAAGATGAGAAGACAGAATGGGAAGTTTTCAACTTCACTGGTGATGGAGGAGTTTCATTGGCCATGTATAACACAGATGAGGTCTGAATCTATAAATCTTTTGATGGTCTTGTTGAAGCCAAATTTGTTTGTTCTAGTTGTGGCTGATTTGTTTTGTTTTACATTTGGCTGGGGATGCAG